AAAAAAAAAAAAAAAAAAGTATACGTATAAATATATAAAAGAAAAATATATAGAAAATATATATAAAGAAAAAAAGCAAATTAATCTTAAAGAATAAAACATAAAATAAATTTTAAAATAAAATGAATATTAAATAATATTAAAATGACATTAAAGAATTTAAATAACATTAAATAATATTAGAAATGATAAGTAAAACGGAACCAGCCCCTTAGCAGGGGGACGTCCGACCATTCTCGATGTCAAAGCCCGGCCCCCCGGCAACCGGCCCTGGCAACGGTCGCCATGGCTACGCAGCGCACCACAAAAAAGTCCCCACAGCAACCCGTACCTGCCTGGTCTTGCACCGTCAAAGCCCGACACCCGGCAACCGGCCCTGGCAACGGTCGCCATGGTTACGCAGTCGCAAGAGCCCAGCACGGCAACGCATGCATGTGCATGTGTGGTCTTGCACCGTCAAAGCCCGACCCCCGGCACCCGGCCCTGGCAACGGTCGCCATGGTTACTGCGGCCGCAAGAGCCCAGCACGGCAACGCATGCATGTGCATGTGTGGTCTTGAGCCGTCAAAGCCCGAACCCCCGGCAACCGGCCCTGGCAACGGTCGCCCCTGTCCTGAGAGCTCTGGGGCTAAAATTTTTTTTAAAATTTAAAAAATGCCACTGTCCCCTGAAAATGAGCCCTCCCGGGGGGGGGGTCTGATGGGGAAACTGAGGCTTAGAGAGGCGCAACCTGTTAGCTCAGGGTCCCAGAGCTGATAGAACGGCACAAGCGGGGGGATTCGAACCCGGATCGGTGATTTGGGGGGAAAATAAAATAGGAGGCCGCCCCCTCTCCCGTCTGGTTTTTCGGGGAAACACGGCATGTCAAAAAAATAAAATAAAATAAAAATAAGATGTGTGCGGTTATGGACCCCGGGACGGGTGTGACTTCTGCCCCGGCGTGGGACCCGGGTTCTCCCGGGGACGTCTCGAGGGCTCCGAGGTCCAGCCCCAGCTTAGACCCCGGTTGGATCACGGGAGGTCGCCGAGCATCACAGTTGTTGCAGTGTCCCCGGGCCGTGTTGGGCACGAGACAACACGGGACACAGGAAAATACACACACGCACACACATGCACGCACAGATAGACGCATGCATGGGCGTTTACACAGGCACGCAGGCATGTACATGCACATACATGCGTATGTACAAATGCATGGGCACGTGCATGGAGACACACAGATATATGCACATGCATGTACACATGCATGTAGACACACAAATATATGCACGTGCATATACACATGCATGTAGACATGCAAATACATGCACATGCATATACACATGCATGCAGACACACAAATATATGCACATACACATGCATGTAGACATACAAATATATGCACATACACATGCATGTAGACACACGAATATATGCACATGCACATACACATGCATGCAGACATACAAATATATGCACATGCACACACATGCATGTAGACATACAAATATATGCACATGCACACACATGCATGTAGACATACAAATATATGCACATGCACATACACATGCATGTAGACACACAAATATATGCACATACACATGCATGCAGACATACGAATATATGCACATGCACATACACATGCATGTAGACACACAAATATATGCACATCCACATGCATGTTCACACATGCACGCAGACATGTACATGCACACATATGCGTATATACAAATGCATATAGATGAGCACGTAGGCACACAAATATATGAACATGCACATGCATGTTCATACATGCACAGGCATGCGTATATACAAATACATATACATGTGCACGTAGACACAGATATATGCACATGCATGTTCATACACACATGCACACATAGATGCGTGTACATTTATATACACACAGATAGACATGTGCATGGACACGTGTACATATGCACAAACACACGTGCACGTGCACATATTCGCACACGCACATGCCTATACATACATGCACACATGTATGTACATTTACACATACACAAATATACATATCTGTGTGCACATATGCGTATACACTAATACACACATGTGCACATAGGCCCACAGCCTCGGCCTCCCTCCCGGGTCTCGCTCTTGCTCAGGCTGGCCTCCAACTCCTGGCCTCCAGCGAGCCTCCTGCCTCGGCCTCCCTCCCGAGTAGCTGGGACTACAGGCATGCGCCTCCATGCCCGGCTCAATTTTTCTATATATATTTTAATTGTCCTATTAAATTAATTTTTTCCTATTTTTTTAGTAGAGACGGGGTCTCGCTCTCGCTCAGGCTGGCCTCCAACTCCTGCCCTCGATAGCGATCCTCCCTCCTCGGCCTCCCAGAGTGCTGGGACGACAGGCGTGAGCCCCCGCTGAGCCCGGCCTGGGCTGCTCTTTCGTGCTTTTGCAAGTTGTGCCAGTGATGTTTATTTGTGAGACTTTTGCAGAAATAATATCTCAGGGCGATGTTCAGAGCATGCGCCGTGTGGAATGATCGATTTCAGCAATTCTTACATCGTATAAAACGCCTGAAATTAGGGAGGATTTTTTTCCTCTTGCATTGGCCTCTGTTAAAAAAAATTTATTATTATTTTCTTTTTTTTTTTTGCAATCATCATTATGTTCTAGAAAAACCCTGAAGGCAAAGAATGCACACCAGGCAACCAGAGTTCCAAGCATCTGTTTTGTGTCTGAACCTCAACCGCCGTTCTCATTCCAGATAAACACATCTGTGCATTCAGTACATTCTTTTTCCTTATTTGTTTCGTCTGCCCGGGGCCCTTGCAAAAAAACATTTTTTTTTTTTTAGAGACTTCTTTTTTTAGGCCGGGCACGGAGGCTCACGCCTGTCGTCCCAGCACCCTGGGAGGAGGCCGAGGCTGGAGGATCGAATGAGGTCAGGGGTTGGAGGCCGGCCTGATTAGCAAGAGCGAGACCCCGTCTCTGATAAAAAAAAAAAAAAAATAGAAAGAAATTAATTGGCCAAGTAAAAATATAGAGAGAGAGAGAAAAAAAATGAGCCGGGCGTGGTGGCGCGTGCATGTAGTCCCAGCTACTTGGGAGGGAGGCTGAGGCGGGAGGATCGCTGGAGGTCGGGAGTTAGAGGCCAGCGTGAGCAAGAGCGAGACCCCGTCTCTACTATAAATAGAAAGAAATTAGTTGGACAAGTAAATATATATTGAAAAAATTAGCCGGGCGCGGTGGCTCACGCCTGACATCCCAGTACTCTGGGAGGCTGAGGCAGGAGGATTGCTCGAGGTCAGGAGTTGGAGGCCAGCCTGAGCAAGAGCGAGACCCCGTCTCTACTAAAAAAAATAGAAAGAAATTAGCCAAACAACTACAAATATATACAGAAAAAATGAGCCGGGCGTGGAGGCGCATGCCTGGAGTCCCAGCTACTCGGGAGGAGGCCGAGGAGGGAGGATCGCTCGAGGTCAGGAGTTTGAGGCCACCCTCAGCAAGAACGAGACCTGTCTCTAAAAAGAAAAAAAAAAAAGAAATTAGCTGGACAACTGAAAAAAAAAAATATATATATAAAAGATTAGCTGGGCGAGGTGGCTCACGCCTGTAGTCCCAGCACTCTGGGAGGCCGAGGCGGGAGGATCGCTCGAGGTCGGGAGTTGGAGGCCAGCCTGAGCAAGAGCAAGACCCCGTCTCTACTAAAAAAGAAAAAGAAAATAGAAAGAAGTGAGCTGGACGACTAAAAATAAATATAGAAAA